TTATAATTTGAGCAGTGCTTCATAGCCGCAGTAATCCCAAGTTTTATCTTCTTGTCGCTCACACATGTGCGCTGACCAAGAATTCTCTTTCCTATTCTTCGGATCCTTCGAATCACCGTGACCTGTTAAAACCGTAAACAGCCACACTTTTGTCGTTTATGAGCTAGAGCCTTTAGATTTGCTGCTGTGTTACCTGTACTACTTCAGCTCTCTATGGAATTGTACAAGTTGATGAAAAGTGAAAATTATTAAAATTTTCATTAGGCGATCCTCCAATGACAGTATCTTTTTGGTTGTTTTCCCTGTGCATGTGCATTTTAAAGATATTTGGCGCCAGGAGACGGCCGGTTGTTTACCGATCCTCTCTTCGCGCCAAGTATCTCTCCCCCTTTACCCTACCCTCATCCCCAGATGTCCCTTATGCCTCTGTCTGCTGTTTACGAAATATCCCTTGGCGGGAATTGACGTCTGGTGTCTTCCCGCCAAGAGATATTTCGTAAATAGCACAAGATACTGTCAGTGAGGGGTCGTCCAATCGGGGGCCATCCTTTCTGTGCGTTTCTGCGCATTTTTGGAAATATGAAAATGCATATATCCCAAAAAACATTAAATCAATTTTCACGCACCTCTGAGTCTCACGCACGAACATGTGTAAATTTTGACAGGAAATTACTAACTCGGGAACCAGAAAAGCTGAAAAGCCAAAATTCAGCCGGTGCCATTTTCCACTTGCAGGCAGAAAAAGACCAAAAAACACTGGCAACATGAATGCATATGTTAAATTGTGAAGCAGCAACAATTCATACTGTTAACGATTTGATTGTTTCAAATTTAGCGCAAAAATGTGTAATTGCACCGGCAAACTTGGTACCTCCATGCCTAAGTTTAATTGGTGCAGAACATTAAATTATAGCTCATTTATTACTTTAGGCTATTTTGAAACCAAGATCCTCAAAAGAGAGGCTCTGAGAATCAGCTGCACTTGGACCGTTAACAGTATTACTCACAGCCTTATAAATGATTCGATTTCGCCAGTGAAAAACCCGTTCTTCTAGGATTTTTCAATTTTGATGTGAAATTCATCCCCTGCCGTTTATCGGGAGTCAAGCTCACCATTACCACTTGTAAACAGGCGCTGAAAACTAATAAAGCTTTTCTGGCTTGTGGTTGCTATTGGTACCTCTTACCGTTCAGCAAAGCTCTCGAGTACACCTGTGCCTCTCCTAAAGATCAAATAGGCGGCATTTAGAGATACATTTACTCACATCTGAATGACAAATTTTTTACGGGGAATTGACAACCGAACTGACAACCGAATGTTAAATATCAGAGAGTGATGCTCACGAGAAAGCAAACGACCACTCGGGCAAGCTTAAAAGAGATAGTTTATAAACAGCATACAGGCGGTTTACTGCTGGAAGTATGCAGTCCGAAATCGAAGGGCCTGGAATAATTGTATCTTTGAAAGCAGAAAACTGGCATGGGATCCACATGCCAACTGTCTGACTAGTCTTTGTATTCTTGGCATTTCTTCGCAATATTTCCCAATCAGAATGTAATTTTAGGGCAGGTTCTGTGAGAGGAGATGTCCGAAAGGGTATTTTGGAGTGAACTGTGCATCAAAATGCATGTGCTACAATGAGAATGAATGCAATCCGGAAACTGGAGAATGCGAATGTGTTGGTTTCACTGGAGAACACTGTGATGAACCCTGCCCGCGGGGCACATTTGGCAAAGGGGTGAGCTTTTTGTTCAGATATTTTCGTTTCAAAAAATGACAAATTATGAGGTTTTACTTGACCTGAGGTGGAGGTTTTTTTCAACTTTTTAAAAAATTTTTGCATTTCAGTGCGCAGAAAAGTGTGATTGCGAGCAAGAGGCCTACTGCCATCCGACTAATGGCACGTGCATTTGCCCTGAGGGCTTCAAAGGAGAACACTGCGATCAGAAGAGTAAGTCTTAGTCCGTTTCTTCCGCTGAGATGAGTTTTACAGCAGGGAACATGCAAATATTCATACGAATCTGAGGGGTCCCTAGATTCTGCCAGCAAAGTTCGAAGGCACTGGCAAGAAATCAAAACATTCAGAGTATGGTTTTTGAGAGAAGAAGGATTCACCCTACCTACTAAGAATACCAAGACAGCTTGGGCTATCAGTGTGGATATACTGTGGATTTATCATATTAGTGGTGTTACTGGGATGCTTGCGGATACGACTAAGCCAATTCCTTCAATTTTAGGCTGCATATCTCCAGTTATTACTCACTGCTGTTCAGCGATTGCAGTGAAAACATTTTACTTCCCATGGATTTTTGCGTATTATAGGAGTCTGAGAAACAAAAAACCTAAAGCACCATCAAAAATCGTCGATCGTATCGATCCTGCCCAATGTTGCTGGATATCAGCCTCTTTACAAGCCCCGCACACAAGCAGAAAATATAGAATGTTTCTCATCGAACTTCTGGTCATCCCTTATCGAATTTTTATCGAATTCCACGACTGCGGGAAGTGTTAGAAAGATAACATTGATCAAATTTTGCAGTTTGCCCGTTCGATCGTTTTGGGCTGCACTGCGAGAAGGAATGTGCCTGCAATGTGAACAACACTAAGCTGTTAGTGCCCTCTTTGAATTCTTAATTTTGTCTAACAAGTTTCCTTGTTCGGGAAAGAGAAACGCCATTGACGCTCGTTCTTCGTTGTACGGAATGGTCCCTTCCGCTGTGCTAACAAAGACACACATAGATAACCCAGTGACAATATACGTTTTATGCTGTGAAACAGCTGCATAAAACGCATATTATCACTGGGTTATCTCTTTGTGTGTGTGTGTGTGTCTTTGTGTGTATGTGCGTGTGTGTGCGTGTGTGTGTATGTTTGTTCAACGCATCTTATTAATTTTTCCAACCGAATTTTGAATGCTT